TAGTAGCTTTTTCCAGAGCTTTTAACTGAATCTCATGGTTTTCTTCAGTGGGTAGAGTTTATTACAATCCTTCCCTCACATATACAGTGTGACCATTTGTGATGACAAGTGATGCATCTCCAGGAAAACAAAGCTAACTCTAACCGTGGATGAATATCCTTAAATCTCTAGAAAAAGCTAGTTAATGGACCTTAGTGGAAATTTTTTTCTGTCTGTTCTGTTATTCTTTCAGGTAATTAACAACCAGCTTGTAATTGCAGGTTTAATGTTTAGTGAATGACTGACCTGGCTGCTCGCTGGCCCATACCGATGTCCCGATGTGTCAGGTTCATCCAGGTACAAAGTGTAGAAGTCAGGTCTAAAATCACAAAGACAGCAGTTAAGTCTGACCTATAGTGTCTCTTGATAGTGACTCACATTGTAATCTTTGTAATGATAATGAAAAATGTAGTACCTTTCTCCCTGAGGTAAATTGAGCCACTGAAACAATGTCGACACTCTCTTCTCAAATGAAATGCTCCTGTGCACCAAAAAGGTAATTTATGAACAAATCAATACATCACTATATTGTGCCATTTAAAATTGATATAACACAACAAGTATACAACCTAATGGCATCGGTCTTACTTGTCATACAGCTTGTATAAGTCTGGGTAGGTGCCATTGATGGCTACATCGGACCCAGGCCAGAAGAAGGTTCCTGCTTTCAGTTTGTTACGCATGGCAGTGAGCCAGACCTGAGGGGAGGAGAGGAGAGGAGAGGAGAGGAAAGAAAAAGAAAGGAAGAGAAAGGAAAAGATAGGAAAGGAAAGGAACATAGGGGAGTTAAGTGTCATCTAGGTTCATGATTAATTCAGAATAAGCTGTAATAGACCTCATTCATTCATATAAGTGGATCACAGCAGCAGTGTTTAGTCCATTAAAATAATGTAATCCCTCACAGTCCAGTCAAGACTGATGGAAATCTAACTGCATATTTTCATGTTAAATCAATACCTGTTAGACCGATCTGCAGATAGAAGTGTTTTATTTATGCAGCAGGCTTGTAAGCACGATTTAGCAGATGCACTTAGTTGTATTGGTTCATTATGAAAGAATGCCTTCCAGGAGTCACGGTTCATTTCCATTTCCTCCTGCAGAGTTACATTGCTAGAGGAGCAGGCTGTCACACAGTTAAGGAATGAGATTTAAGAGGTATCCCATTCTAAATGGGAACCACAAAGCGTCTAAACAAGCACAACTCACTGCCCTCACAAGCTGACATTTAGCACGAGCAGAATCCATAATTATGTCAAGAAGCTCATTTTGGGGAGAGCTGATTCTAAGCAATGAAACTCTGTCAAAAAAACAAGTGTCTCGTGCCGTTCGCAGACAGCAAATCACAGCATGATGAGCATAATGCGTCATATTTTTTACAAGTGCTGCTCCTTGATTCATGATTCCACAGAATCAGGGTGTGTTAACTTTCACAGTTTACAGAACAGTAGTGTCTAGCTCAGAGTCTCAGATGTGTAAAGGAGACATTAGAAAGCAGTGCTCAGAAATGTCCAGCCCCTTGTGCACAATATCGTGATAGATTCACTTACTGGCTCTCCTTGGTACCATTTTGCGTTGAATTTCTCGTCAGTTTTCAAGTTGAAAAAAGCGTTTCGGGTCACATCGTACATCTTGTTGTCCACAATTCCATGAGACTCGGGATAAAGGCCCTGCAGGAATCAGAGATAAAAACACACAACCAAACTGAGTTGTTTTGATGTGGCTGCAGGGATTTAAAGTGATTACGTCCTATCACCAATCTTTCTAACCTAAATATTATTGGTAACCACAGCAGTTTATTGTAATTGCAGGATCTTGTTTTGCCAAAGAGGTGAAATTCAGTCTGTGATCCCCCTCCCCCACTCCCAGTTCTGCTGCTGTTCCTCTCCACAAGCACATGTAAGCCATTTAGGCCCCAACAGTAACCTCTATATAACAGTGCAGAGACCCTGACTCTGCAATTGCAGGGAAAAGCCCCAAGTTCACTTTTGAACTGTGGTGCACGAACAGCACTGGCTTAAGTAAAATTCTGAGGTATTATTTGGTTTTATGCTACTTCAGGTTTTCTACATTTCAGAGGGAAATATTATACTTTTTATCCCACAGCTACCGGTTACTTTTCAGGTTAAAATTTCACACAAAAAACATCATAATCTTGCAATGCAATTTTAGATTAAACATGATGTCTTGTAACAGAAAAGTACTGTCTAGTTGGGACCTCTTGTCATGTTTCAGATATCTAGGAGTTGTTAGTAGATCCACCAAAGAGACATTTCCCCTCTAAACTTTTAAATAACTGTTCCAAGGATGTAAAACTCAAGCAAATATAGAATAGATACCAGATCACAGAGCTTTGACACCCCTCAGATTTATCTTGTGACCTTTTGAAGTGGGCCCAACCCCTAGGTTGAGAACCACAGCACTTATTTCAGATGTCTGTGAGCATTTAACAGTTCCACCAAAGAGACCATGCCCATCTAAACATCTTAGATGGGTTCATTAAAATAAAGCCCAAACAGATTAAATTACTATCTGTGTAGCTTTGTACTTTTATATTTTATCTTCTTTCCTCTCCCATTAATCATCAATGATCTCTCAGATTTTTCCTGTGACCCTTTGGAGGTGGCCTGACCTCTAGGTAAATCTACTTAAATACTTATGTAAAGTAGTTAAAACTAGCTCCACCTCGAACAGCTACAACAGTAAAATGCTACTTGTGCACTGTTGCATCAATATAAACACTAAATATTGATTGATTTGATATTTAAACCTAAGTAAAGTAACCGTAGATTTTGAATGCAGGACATTGTTATATTGGTAAACAATATGAGTTCTTCTTCCACCACTGAAAACAAAACAAGTCAGACAAACAATCTGTGTCCAATAAATCAACCCCTGAGCAGCAAACACTTACAGTCACAATGCTGTAGTGGTTGGGAAAGGTCTTTGTGGGATAGACAGGCCTCATGTATGCCGTTGTTGTTCCTGAGTTTCCTGCAACACAATTACGTTCAGTCACAGCAGGATGCATAGTAAACCATGGAAAGCTGTGGAGTCAACAAGGCCGATGACTTACGTAACTTCTTGATGACAGGAAGGCGGTTGCCGTGATCTTTAAGGTACTCCGCCCTGAAACCGTCCAAGGATACCAGGATGAGAGGAGGCTTGGAAAAACTGGACGTGGAGACAGAGAGGAAGAACGATGTTTTATGACACTCAGGTGGGTTTGTGAATGAGGAAATGGAATAATTACTCAGCAAGAGACGTGGACAGCTTTGGCATCAGTAGTGCAGCAGTAGTGTGGTACAGTAGGTCTGTGCAGAGAGAATACAAAGCAGCTCTTTGACCAGGAAAAGCACTAGGAGAAATAAAGTCAAATCACAGACCACACAAACACACAGAGAAGGAGAACAGGAAGAGGAGTGTGACTCTACTGGCAAAAAATCAAAGACTACAAGAGTTTTGTTAGTCTCTGCAGATTTCTTTGTTCCCCAATGTGAGGCAGGGTCCCCTCCCATTTCAGTGGGAGCACTACATTTTTCATAATTTCACTATCTGCAAGAGTTACAGGTTACTTCATTACTTGTGATTAGTTGTACAGCTATCAAAATACTTAGTTACTTACTTACTTAGTTACATAGAGCTGCTTACTGAAACTTAATACTTACTTTAATACGTGAATATCGACCAGAAGTGTTGAATGGTGTCAAGTAACGCAGGTTGGCACTGATTGATCAGATATTTGATCAAAATCAAGAAACATTTCTACCTTTAGACTATATTTGACTCATTTTTTGACTCCTGGTGCATTTAACAGTTTGGCATGTTGTCTTAAAAAGTTATTTCTTTACTTGGTAAGGCATTAAATTTAACTTAAAAGCATTGTATCAGCACCAAAACTCAGGTACTGAATCTGCACCAGTATTGAAAATAGTCAATATATTTTGTTTAAGTACTTGTAGCTAAAGCAGTATTCAGAGGGTTTCTTGGCCACTTGGGGGCAGCAGAACAAGCTGTCAACACGAACATTGACATATTATCTTATGCAGTTGATTTGGCTAACATGTTAGCAATCAGTTTTCTATTTAAAGTCATTTACAAATTATTTACAAAAACAGGAATGATGGGGAATGAAAAGAAGAATCTAAAACATTAACAGCATTTACAAAGATTAATACATTAATCCATCTATAAATTGGTCAAATTAAAAAGGGGTTTATGAGAAACATAAAACAACTCATAAATTAACTGATTAATTTTAAAATAGTTTAATGATACTGAAACTGAAAAGGCAATTCCTTTTTCCATTTGCTTTCTGTGTATTTAAAAAATTAACATGTAAAAAAAAAAAGTTTGCAATCAGCATTTTCCAGAAGAGCTGCTTCTTTGCGTGTAAAGCCCAAACCACACATTAAAAATGTGGTTTGCCAACAGAAAAAATATAAACAAACACAACAGAATGAGTTACTTTGATATAAAAAAAATACAGACAACATTCATTTGTTTTAAAGATGTTTTCAAACCAAAAATAGCTTCATATGTAGCCACAGGTTTTCTTTTCCATAGTGAGTCTGTCTGGGTGTATTCCCCTACCAAAGCAGAAACACACACACACACACGTGACCACACACTCAGACACACACACCACTCACCAACACATGCCTGATTAGTCATTAGCCTGGTTTCCATAGTGACATTTTTTTCCACTTAGCCAACACCATCATAAAAAACATGTGTCTGTTTGGATTATTTACACACTTTTAAAGAACTAAGCTGAATAGAAAGTGAATACAAAGAAATACTTTATATGTTTTTCTGTAGTTTCATGTGGACTAAGAACTGCCTGCTAGGAACAATGAACTCAACTCAGGCTAACTGTGGGCGATACAGCTGAAAAGCCTCATTCTCAGCTCTAAAACACGGTGAAAGATATTGTACAAAAAGGAGGGGAGGAGATGATATAACTCGAACTGGGCAAGCTGAGATTTGAGGCATTGTTTTCTTCTAGTTCTCACATTACAACAGCAGAACAAGAGTATTGCATTACCCAGATGGACACTTTGGCTGTTGAATTTCTTCATCGGTCGCCTGCAGCCAGACCTTCCCTTCTGGTGGGAAAGAAAAAGTGTTGTCAGTGGAAAAAGGTATGTTTGCAGTTGCATACAGTATATTTTTGTGACCATAACACAGATATAGATAACTTAAAACTGATGAACCAGACTTATATGATAAGATAAAGAAAACTTATTATCCACCCACTTATCCATGACTAAATAAGCAACAATTACCCAAGACTGTAGGAAGTGTGACCTTGTGGCTATGTGCTATGTGATGCAGAGGGTCAGCAGACACAGGGGATACTAACGGAACACCAATCAGTGTAGCATGGAAGAGCTGGTAGTACCACCTAACCATGAGTACAGTACCGCACATAAGTAGCCATGCTGTTTATTGCAGTCAACATTGTTTATTCAACCATAAATATCTTGTGAAGCTCTGAATATAGCACAGTTACTGGTAATACTTTGTTTTTCCACTGGCACTGGCACATGGTTTGAGAAGCACAAACTGGGACTACAGTGCTTTTTATACTTGGTGTGGCAATGGAGTCAGGGAGGTCAACATACATTACAGACCTCTGAGTCTTGCCTGTTTCGTCACGGTTAGAAAAGTGTGAGAGAATCTGGCTGAGCCAAACTCTCAAATCCAAACAGAAACAAGCTATTTTTTTCTCCATCTGTCTTTGTTTCATCCAGTCTGATTTGATTAGATTTGACTGACAGTGCTGGCAACTTTAGCAAACAATACCCAAAACTGTCATCAGATTTGGATGTTTAGAAATACATTACGTCACTTATTTCCAACTGAGCCATATCCACATCAAACAAGTGAGACTAAAACAGACAAAAATCCCTTGTGTGAATTCAAACTTTGGTAGAAAACCTTTGTTACGTGTAGGATCCCATAGCTTATAGTAAGAATCTGATTGAGAAAATAGGTTTAAAAGGCCTTTACGTCAAATCAAATGGAATCATTGAGTCACTTTATTGGCACAGAACAGGAAGTAAGAATGCAGAACTCCCCTTTGTCATCCACATATTCACAACATGATTTCAGACAGAGAGAGACTGAAGGGTTCCTGTGCTTCCTGGCCAGTGAAGTCTTTCCACAGTTTTTTTGGAGATAGAAGAAAGAACAGCTCTGTGAACCACATGAATATGTTGCGTAAATGCACAAATGGATTACAGCACTGACTCCGTGAACAAAGACAAAATGCACAACCATCTCATTTTTAAGCCAGATTTTGTTCTGGACAGGATGTGTTCACACATGCAATAGAAACCATCTGGATTTTGTTCTCATGGTAACAAAACAGCTTTTCTTAAAGAGGTGTTCATTTAACTAGTGACCAAGAAAAAAGCTCTAACTGCTGTTTCACTGTGACTGGAAAAAACAAATAAGCACGAAATATGGGATGTACATAGAGGACAATGCTTTGTTTTTTGCAGAGGAAAAACAAGGGGAAGGAGGTCACATACATATATAACGAGGAAGAGACGAGTGTCTCATTTTGATGTTGCAGGGAAGGTTGAGTTAAAATAAATGCTCAAGCAATGTGACACAATCCAGTTACAAATTATCCTCTATTGTTTTCTCCTTTCTTGGAAAGCAACTTTAAGACATTCCCACGGACAAGGTGACTCTAACCAGGAAGCTTTGGGCCACCTCTTTCCCCTTTCAAGCAACTGCCTTCCCGATACATCCGTGAAGTCTGCTGCTGACTGGACACATGACAGAGGGAGTCTTAGCACGTCGGTGAGAAAGCCCCTCCTCACTGCCTCTTGAGGCCAGCACTGTGGTTTGGACCGAACACGAGGATGCTCCGTCTCAGGAGACAAGTTGCTGTGGTCTGTAATCCACGGGAAAACCCGCTCTCAGCATTTTATACTACATACTGTCAGCCTTTAGGAAGAAGTCCTGGGTTATTTTTGTTCCTTTTCATCTACTTCCAAAGGCCTTACCAAAAAAGCAGCCCTATGAAAGATGTCGAAGTTCCACAAACGTTGCATAGATGTGAAAAACAAAATATGAATCTGGGTGAGTGAAAAGTCAAAATTTATTCTTTCCATATGGCTTTCATGTCTACTGGGTAGGAAGTATAAGTTAAAGGGAAATGCCACAGCAGAGAGAGCAACCCCGCCCAGGCTGGGGACAGTTGCCCACAGCCACCACCGCTGCCCCTGAAATGGAAGAGGGGTGTTTTGGCACAGCGGTTTGCAACAAAGAGCACACTGACGCCGCTGCCCACGTCCAACCAGAGGGAATCTATAGCTGCAGAAAACATGCCAACCCCGGGTGAACATTCCCGTCTCACTTAAATGTGTATTTACGACGTGTTTTGCAACAGTCGGCCAAAAAAGCCTGATCGCACCACCCTGACAGAAACATACCCTGTGAACAAATCATATGCAGGAGTTCACATTCACCTCCGTGTCTCTCTTTCACTGGCTGGTTGGTAACTTGACCCTCCGTCTCTGCTGCTCTAAATACTGCCATTTCAAAGTTTCTGAGGGAGTGGGACATTAGCAGGCTCCAATTTAGGTTCACTTTTGGAAGCCCAAACGGCACTCTGTAGCCTCACAGTAGCAGAATGCAGATTTATTTTATTCCTCAGCCCACTGACCAACTTGTATCATGTATTTTCACCACCCTTTGCTGAATAAGTGCTCCTCCAAAATGTAACCTGAGAGGGTTATTTTTATCTGTATGAGTACCTTCAATCACTGTATGTCTTAAATCTGTAAGAATGACCGCAAAACAGTTTGTTTTCTCATTTCCTGGAGTATCACAGGCCAGATTTTTAAACTTAAAGCCCATATTTGTATATTTCTAAACAAATAAGTCTTAATTATTCTGATGGTATATGTTTGTGTCCCCATGAAAAAGAAAATATCCCAGTGAAAATTGTTTTCAGGCTATTATAGTGTCCACTGATCAGATCCTGTATATATATAATATATAATGTCTTTTAAATTTAAAAAAGCTGTTCATAGTCGCTTTGTCACAGTTGGTCAATGTAACAGTGTGAAACCATTTTCTTCACCCTTGTGTATGAGCAGGAGCAAGATGTTACTCTATTGTGATACTAGTGGTTGGAAAACTCAATGTTAACTTTAAACTGCAGCCGAACTATACTGTAACTGAATCCTGTTACCGAGAGAGAAGCCCTGCTCCTACAGCTGATGGTTGTGCTGATAGATACATACATAGTGTGGAAAGCCCCCAAAAACAGGCTGCAGCTGTAAATTCAGTGAAACAGTCGTGAGTTCCTACCGTTCTCATCACCGCTCTTTCTCAGAGAAAACACTACAGCCAGGATGACCACCAGTAAGCAAAGCAGCAGGACCTGAAACCCAGAGACCAAATGTCAGGATGTTTGTTACACTCACTGCAGATAACAGTTCATTAATCACATACAGCTGCCAACACACACGACTGAAGATGTTTATATTTAACTTCTCGGTGAGAAGAATGATGACTGACCACCATTTTACCTGAGAGCTGTTAGTAACTACCTTCAGACTGAGAGTGACAACTGAACAAAAAAGGAATAAAACTTGATATTTTGGATGATATAATGGTGGAAATGGCCTTGGTTTGTTCTACTAGCTCTCTAAACACACTAGTGTGTAAGCTAGATGCCTTGTAACCATAATATAAGCATACTGTGACAGACTTCTGGCCCCTTGAGAGAAGCCATCAATCAAGGCATTTTGCAGAATCATAAATACCTCCTTCAATAACTACAACAGAAAGTGTGCTGTACAGTAACGTTATCCAACGTTGGCTCTAGAGATGACAGTGCCAGCTGGTCCAGACTGAAATATCTCAACAGCTACTGGATGGATTCCACTGACATTTCGTACACACATTCCTGATCCCCAGAGGATGAATCCTAGCACCACCAGCAGGTCAACATTTTACTTATGCAGTGAAATATTTGAAATTCATTGGATGGTTTTGGCTCAGTGTTTGTGCAGACATTTCGGTTCCCAAGAGGATTAATTGTAATAACTTTGGCAATCCACTAACTTTTTTCCTCTAGTGCCACCATAAGGTTTCAATTGTGGTTTCTCTACAACCTTTTTTGGACGGGTTGCCATGGAATTTCATTCATGTTTCCCTCAAGATGAACTGTAATAGCTTGACTGACTTTTCCTAAAAACTCATGGTATTCCCTTAATCCTCAGATGTGCTATGTTCTTAGTGGTAATTAGATTAGTTAGATTGCTAACATGCTTAAGGAACATGGCGAACCTAAACATTACCTTCTACATATTAGCAATTGCATTTTTAGCATTTTGGCTTAAACATGGATCTTTAGTCGACCATTCTTTGGTTAATTAATTCATTATTTTGTTTCTTTTGTGAGACTTCAATCTTTATTCAATATGGGATAAAGGTCTTGCAGTGCTGAGTGAAGGTGGTCTGTTATTTATTTCCTTAACCCTGCCCAGTATAATCTAATGATTTTCATCTTCCCCCACCCACCACCTCCCAACTGTCCAAATGTTGGTCTTGGCCCTCTTTAAATGTTGATATAAACAGGGAACAAGTTAAGTTCTGGCATATCATTTTTTACCATTTTAAGACAAATACAACCCTCTAAAACTCAACATATTGTCACGCTGTATTCACTCTGAAAGCTGTAGTTGTGTGCAGTTAGTTACAAAAGCAGGATTGTGGGAATCACCAACCACAAGTAATCCGTTTCAGTGCGATTCACGTACACAAGCATTCCTAGACGGGTATGAAAGTATGCCGTCATGTGTGCCTGGTGTCTGGGTAATGTGCACTTATTTTCTCCAGCTATAGGTGAAGAGAGAGAGAGAGAGAGCTGGATTGGACAAAGCTCCTTGGGAAAGATGTGGTCTCTGTGGGTTGTAAAAGTAAACTGTCTGTCTGGTGGAAACCTACCCGTATGACTCTGAAACACACTACTAAGTTCACCTTTGTTTCTATTGTGCACAGTGCAGATCTGATAAGACTGTTGGGAGTCAAATCAAACTGCACAATACGTACCTTATGAGTATCCAGGCCTGCTTTTATATCTATACTCCAAAACACACTGCAATCACCCTTTTGCAAGACTTTAAATGACCCTGCAGAGTAACAAGCACAACTACTACTAACAGATGTACGGTGGCTGATGTATGACAGGAGGGAGCATATTGTTGTCTGGACTCTTCCACATGTGTATTCAATCAGTGCCAAGCAGACAGCAACTGAAATCACTGGTTCCTGAGGTTTTAGCTGGAGTTTGATAGTAAATAGTTTGACAGATGTGTTTACTGTGAGACAATTCTTCTATCTATACAGTTTAAATTCCAGTGATGAGGTGGATTAAGTGCGTATATACAGTATATTCACTTAAAAATGTGCCTGATATATCAATTAATTTTTTTATTTTACTGTAAACATCGGGTTTAGCTCCGAGTACAGCGTCACAACAGCAGCATTTAATTACATTTTTTTTGCAATTCTTTCAATTATGGTTTTAGTATTCAAGTGAAGCCCCAAATGTATCCCAGATTTAGTTTCTCTGTGGAGTATGTGTGGTTTGTCTCAATGCCTCAAGGAATTGTGAACAATAAAAGCTGCTGTCGCTCCTGCGTGTCTTCCTCTCTGACAAGACTACAAACAAAACAGTCATTCTAACGTCCAAGCAGATTGTCATCAATCTGATCCCTTAAGACAGACAGAGGCTGGAAGTGAAAGGCAGCTGTGCTTGTTGCTGGGTCTTAAAGCTGCATAAAATACTCACTTTCAGCCAGTTTAAAATCTAAAAGCGACAGTATTTGCCCTTAAGATCTTAATACAGTAAACAGGATATGTGTCTTATATGAATATACCCTCAACTCCACATGTTATTAATTAAAGTATGGTGGCACATGTTTGGTTAAGTGTTCTTAAATGTGAGCTTTTTGCTGTCTTACATTAGATTAAATTGAGTATTTGTTCTTTTTTTTTTATTGTTGGTTGCACAAAACAAGGCATTTGAGGATTACACCTTGTGCTGTAGTATATTATAATTGCCATGTTTCTACTGCCTCCCCTGCAACCTCTCCCCTCCTCCTTCCTCAAACATCCAGATTAAATATCTGAATGTGGATCTATTTAAAAAGACACGGCTGCTGTGACAACTTTGCTCTCTTAACTTTGTGACAGCACCACAGACTTTTACACTGAAACTTTACTCTTTTGGATCTCAATCAGCGCTGTGATCTGAGGTATCATCTTCTCCACCTGTACAGACACTTCTGGCCTCTGCCTTTTTGCACTCTGGTGAAAACATTTTTGTTTCCACTTTCACACTGGCAGCAGGGACAGTCTCGGCTGTTTGACAGCAGTGGATTAATCACACTGGAGGGTAAACAGTGCAGAAATCCAGACCTGAAGCTGTGGTATTAGATTCCTGGTAGGTAATGACATTGATTTATGATAAACTGAAGATGTGCAGTCACTAGAACCGCAGCTGACAATTACTTTCATCATCGATTTAATCTTATGATTACTTTCACGATTAACTAATTAATTGTGTAGTCTATGAAATGTCAATTAAAATGTGAAAAAGCTCTTCAAATGTGTTGTTCTGTTCAAATAAAAGTCCTAAACCCAAAGATATACAGTTTATAATCGTATTTGACAAAGAAAATGCTAATCTTCTGGTTTCAGCACTACTTTAACTATTTTTTACTTTAGAAATGACTTAATTGGTTATTAAAATAGTTGCTAACTATAGTTTTTTGTGTATCCATGAATAGTGTCAGCTTTAACAGTCACTATAAACTCAGTATGTATAGGTTTATGGACAGTGGGGTCCTGAAGTAATAACACTACACTTTATTTTAAAGATACAGACATTTAAGTGACATATAAAATCTACTGAGGACCACACACAGACTCACAATGTTGAGTTTTACAGGAATATTTGTGGTTTTTTAATAACATAGTTAAAGGTGCACAAACATGTTTCAGTTTTTTAAAACACTTTCAACCAAAAGTGTGAAAGTAAATAACACCATGTGGCCTGAAAACATTGATAACAGTGTCAGAGAGGCGGTAGGAGGTCAGACAGAGATCTTATTGAACTTACCCCAGTAATGATTTTGCAGTTATTCCTCTTCTTTCCACCTTCAGTGTTTCTCCTTTGACTCTCCAGCTCTGATGCCCCAAATAAAGAGGCAGCCTGTTCAGCCGAGCTCTCCTCTCCTTTGGTTACTTCCATGCTGCTGAGCCGCTGCACACCAAAAAAACACAACCTTCCTGCCAGTGTTTTCCAGGAGGGAGACTGAGTGGCAAGCAGTGAGGAGGGTGAGGAGTATATACTGTGTGATATGACCCCCTCTGCTCAAGAGTAGCACCGCCTTGTTCCTCGACGTCTACAAGTTTTACGAAGCAGCAGCAAGCAAGCAGAAGCATGTGACTGATCTGCCTAAAGAAAGCTGAGCAAAGAAAAACCTCAACAGTCTGCTATTTTGGCTTATTGTGTCTTTTTCCAACAAAGCCTGTTCAACAATTAATATCATACTTGGCCACTTCAAAAAGGAGGAATTGAAACTTAATTGAAATTTAAAAAAAAAGACAAACTAATTCCGGATATTTGTGTTTATAAGTCCCTTAAATGTGTTTATCATGTTTAATTTCTCAGCTGTAAAATAAGAACAAACGGTTGAGGAATTTTAATTAAGACTAACTATTGCGCGGTGACTGAGTGCTGCTGCCATCTTGTGGTGAGACTGGAGTGGTGCGCTGTACCAAACAAATACAAAAATCCAAATATGGCACAATCTGTTTTTAATTTTGAGTAAATAAAAGTGCAGAATTAACTACATAACTCTTTATCACCGTATTTAGTGTTATTGATTAGTTTGACACCAATAGTGAAGGAGAGGTGGTGTTAGATGAAGACTGATGGGCTAGCATGAAGACAGCTAGGCTCTGCCCCGTGGTAACAAAATCACCCAACAGCTCCTATTAAATTCACAAATTAGCACTTTATATCTATTAATTTGTTTATTCTGTACTAAAAAAGTGTAAAAATTACTGGATACTAGTAATTTTGGCAACGACCACAGACTCTTAGAGGTAACTGCTCAGGCTAGCTGTTTAAAATTAATAACCTATTTTATTAAATCTCAACGTGTCACATTAACAGGTTATTTGTTCCCTTTGGAGAATGTAAAGCTGTTATGATAAACAACAGTGTGAGCAGCCTGCTTCTTTCCTGTCACTTACTGTATCTTAATATGTCATTATAATGCACACACATGTCTAAATAAAGCTTTGATGTAGAGCTTCATGTATAAGCATCATGCATGGAGGGTATTATAATCTGTTGATTCAGCTACTTAAAAAAAAAAAAGGTTATCATGCAGAGTTTGACCTCAACCAGTTAAAAGTATACCTGCTTCCTGAGCAGTTCTGCAAGTGTTTATTTAGATTAAACTAAGTTCTGGCTCTTTGGAGGCTCTTGAGCAGCCTTGTTCCTCCGCCGGAGCCCCTTTTATTAAATAAAGTAATCCCACTGGAATTTCTGTGGGTCCCTTCCAGTTGTGGTCAACCCAAATCATCCAAAATTGTCATCCTGGTAACAACACTGCTGACAACAACTGTTAGAAAATTGGCAGAAGTTTAATTGTCAGTGTAAAATCTCCCTGGAGGTCACTTAACCCAATGATAATGTGTCAGAATGAGCCAATTCTTACATTCTTCTTTATTGAGAAGCTTTCCAGAGCCTGTATTTCTCTTTCCAACCAGCAGCCCTCACTTCCCCCACAACCACGTACGCACCTGTTTCCCATTTCCTAATTAGCCTAGTATTTATATATATATTCCAGTCCATTTCCACCTACTGCTTCCTTGTGTTTGAACTTTTTTGTCCTGCCCGCCACACAGTACACAGTACACAGTATACAGGTCTTTTATAGCCTCGACTTGTGTTTGTGATTTCATACCTCGTTACTGAGCTGTGACACAATGACACTGAATCTGCTCCAACAACAGATGTTTGTATACATGATCCATACATCAAGAAACATCTATTATGGAAAAGGGACTCAAAGCGGTGGTTCCCAATCAATTCCCTTAAGAGAATTTATTAAACTAACAAACTCTAAAAAGTGATTTTATGGATATTTCATATTATATTAAAAACTGTAAAATAAACCCAAATAATTAAGTCATCGGCATGAATTTTGACAGTTTATTTTAACTGTTTAGGGAACTTTTTATACAATTCTTTGTCTGTATTGTGTATTTTTGATAATTTTTAACAATCATACAAACCTTATAGGACAAATACATTGTTTTTTTGGCCCTGGCGCTTGGCCCGTTGTTGTATTTGACAATTTACTTTACTTTACTTTTGCTTGTAAAACAGTAGCTCAGTCTATGGGGACTTGGCTTGGGAACTGGAGGGTTGCCGGTTTGAGTCCAGCACACATCACAGTATGGAGTGTGGAACTGGCATCTCTCCAGCTGCCAGTCCACACTCCTGTGTACTGCCGAGTTGCCCTTGAGCAAGGCACTGAACCCATAACTGCTTGTGGAGTACCCCTACGTGGCAGCAGATAACGCCACCATCTCTCCGCATTTGCATGTCTATAAGCCCTGCATGTGCATGATTGTATTTTGGCCTGTAAAGTAAAAGTACAAAAAAAAAAAAATTCCCCATTGGGGATAAATAAAGTAT